ATCTATTAATATAAGAAAAAATAATTAAAACTTTTAAATGTATGGATTATTGTAAACGTACATTGAATAGAATTGTATTTTGTGTAAACTGCTTATCAATTCCAAAAAGTCTGATTTGTTTACACTTATGTGACCAGGAAATAAGTAGGTTCAAATTGACCTAAATATGGTTTTTCCGCTATTTATAATCATGTGATTTTATTTACGATATCATCCACATTGAGGATTACATGCTTGAGTCTATTTAAATCTATTTTTAGATGAGGAATTCTAAATTTCCAAACAGAGAGGCCTTTCTATATATATCTTGGAAGAATTTTCTTACATTAATTACGAATTTTGATCTTTTAAACAAAAATACAATTTTATTTTAAAGTTTTATCAACGCCTAGGTATGCAAGATTGAAATCTTGGTGTATATGTACATGAAAATGCTACAACATAAATATTCAGGTCAAGAGAGGCAACTCTAATCATTGTTCTTTAAATAGCAGTGGGAAACTATATTGGATATATTTAGATTTTAAGTGGGTTTTGTGTGAATAATATGAAATATTTCACAATTTCAGAGCACATAAAAACGAATTCTCTTCTAAACTCCTCTTCAAATTCATTTAGTCCAAGTTTTATCAAACATTCCGATGGACAACAAATTGCAATTTATAGTTTTCGTTACTCTGACTTTAATCACATGTTACTGTGTTTATGAAGTGCACGGTAGTGGCAAAGTTCGAATTATAGATGGTAAATCAAAAACTGATCCGACGACTCCTAATCCGGAGTACTCGGTAAACAGTGAGGGGGTCGAAGGAGAAACCCGTCCTCAATCCCCCCTAAATCAGTCGAGTCAGGGTAGTTCCATGCACGGATATATCTTTGGGACCGTTCTTCTGGGCGGCTTAGTTTACTTATTCTTTCATCGCATTTATGGAAGACTGCAAGCATTCTTTATTATGATGCCTGGAAGAACATAAACTCTCAATAAAAGTAAGTGTTTTTATAAGTATGTACTCAAAAGTACATCTTAGAAAATTCTTAGAATTTAAATAATTAGTACACTGTAGTAATTATAAGTTTTATTGCTTTTCAGGTATCAAAAATTGTTGAAAGAAGATTTATTTTCAAATGGATATGAAATGAAATAATATTTCAAATACATAAAGTATAGACTTAAAAAGACAATTTGATACTGTAACATAATATTTACATGATATTTCCATTATTGAGGACATGAGAAAACTTGTCAGAGTATTGAAAATTAGCCTGGGTCGGCTGCATGACAATACTGTAAATAATTCCAAAGTTATTTATCATGTTCGGTCGTCCGTCGCCAATAGAAATGGTATAGGAGAAAAGTGGGCAAATATGCAATGATAGATTTCTTTTGTTGTTAAAAAAACGTGGATTTTTAAATTTTCTTTCGATATCATAATTATATGTACATGTAAAGTGATAATATTATTTATTGATGTTGGACAATGTACATCTTATAAGTATTATATTTATGTATATATCATACCATTTATGTAAAATAATTTAAGCAACAAAAGATCATTTGACGGCTTGTGTGACTTTACAGGACATGCATGTACAACTTTGTATGCGCATACTTAAATCAAGTTTGTATGAAAATGTGTGTATATGTGTTCAAAATGTGTGTTTTTCTTACGTTATTTACTAAATTAATATGTCATGCAGTGATATAATTAAAGAGTTGTCTAGGAGTTATCTTTTAGAATTTCATATTCTTTCATACTTTTTTTTTCAAGATTTGGATTTAGATTTTAGTAAGTTTTTGTCAGTCTGACATCCATGTATTTTGATGACAAGTAAATTCTCTCTAAACCCCACCTTAAATTCATAAAGTCCATCGTATTACAAACACTCTGGACGGTGGATAGCAAAATGTTGTCATTAATCTGACGGTAAATGTTCGTTATTGTGTCAAAGACGAAATGGAAGGAAAAAAGTTCGAGTGAAAGGTACATGTAAATCCAACTTTCCAGTGGAGAGAGGGTAAATCCATACACGGATATATCTTTGGGAAATTCTTCTATGCTTAGTTTTCTTCTTCATTCATCGCGGTTATGGAAGACTGCAAGCAATCTTTATGGCCGGAAGTTACTCACTGTATAGAGTAAGGGAATCAAGCTTAATGCTTAAAATTTTACCTATTATTGTTTCTCTTCATACACTGAAAGAAATTAAGTTTTGTTGTTTTGCAAATATCGGAAATCAATGAAAGAAGATTTACTAAACCTTTGGAATGAAATATTGTTTCGAATGCATGTACTTCAAATATAGACTAAGAATAATTTGATACTTATCTAATATTGACGCGATATTTACTGTATGTGTACTTGAAAAAGCGGGCTTCATATTTTAGCGCCTTTGGCGCCGACACCGATGCGCTAATTCATGAATACCGCTGAGAAATCATATATAAACATAATATACGGCGCACAATTGTGTAGCGCTAATTCATGAATACGCCAATAACTCTATACACAGTGATTGTGCTAAATATAGAATACGCAAATTTATGTACACGTACAGTACATTTTGGAGAACATAAGAAAACTCGTCAGAGTATTGAGAATTAGCGGGATCGGGTACATGGCAATACAATGAATATCCACAAAGTTATTTTCCATGCTCTTCTCTTAAGTCGTCCGTTGCCAATAGAAATACTTTAGGAGGAAAGTGGATAAATATACAAACATGGATCTTTTTGTTTAACAAAGTTGATATTAAATATTTTTTTTGTAGATTTTTTTTGTATGAATATTATAAAAGTGATTTTACTATTTAGAGAATTGCACTTAATGTTCACCTGATAAGTATATACATAGAGAATATTATATAAACTAAAATCCATATATCGTCATATCAACCTGCGTGGTCCTATATCAGCCCGAGGGCTGATCCCTCGACCAATATCAACCCAAGGGCCTTCGGCCCTCTGGCTGATATGGCTGTGTCGACCAGGCTAATGCAGGGTGTGATATGGAAAGGGGTATGTATTATTTTCTATATATTATACCATTTATGTAAGAATATTAAATGATCATTTTACGGTTTGTGAGACTTTACATTGTTATTAATATATCACAGATGCAATTTTTTAAAATCAATTTTGTAAGAAAATGTTTTTTTCTTAAGTTTAAAAAAAAAACTTATCAAAACTGTAGTGCAATGTTATTAAAGTGTTGCTTGCTAGGTGGTTATTTTATTGAATCCCTTATTCTATCTTTTCCTAAAAATAGATTGGCTTAGGTTTGCATTTTACATAATTTTTTTAGCCTGACATTCAATACCGCCTTAAATTCAGTTTTCACTGAAAGGGTTTGTTTCTTCTCGTGTCTGTCTTCTCACAAAATTTTGTCCGATACATAAATCGAGACGCCTCAACTGGCATTCGTATGTTTTTTTCCAGTGGTAAATAACTTTTATTTAATCAGCAAGTGGAGATTCTTTTATACATGTACATGTATTTAGAATTTTAAAAATGTAAATGTGTCATTTTTGTGCTTAACAGAAGTTTGCAATAAAAAATAATATTAAACGATATGATAAAGTTGTCTTATGTATCATTTCCTAACTTCTCAATATCTTCGCAAAACATTACTAAAAGAGAGCAGCCACATTCAAAACAATAATTATCTGTCTCCATTCCTGGTGCACTTGTTCTGATTCTTTCAAGAAATGTGTTCCATATTTCATTTTGGTCACTAGTTAACACAGAAAGTTACGAAAGCCTATTAGAATCAATCTTTTGGGAGATTATGAAAAGGCGTTATAAAGCAAAGTGAAAAGGCGTAAGAATGAGAATAAATGCATAAAAACGCAATAAGAAAAGGCGTTATGACGCAAGGAAAAAGTGAAAGTTGTTATAAGGCGAAAAGAGGCGTTATTAAGCCTTCCCAAAAGACGAATTAAAAAGGTGTAATGACGCAAAGAGAAAATGTGTTATAAAGTCTTTAAATTTTGAAGACGTTAAAGCCTTTAAAAGCGCATAATAATTCAAAACTAAAAGGCATTATAACGCCAAAACAGAAGGTGTAATAATGTTTTTTAAGCAAAATAATGCCTACCAAAAGGCTTTTGATAAGGACTCATAGTTTTTTGCTATTATACACACAGCTTGCAAGTCCAGATGTAAATTAGTACGTTTTTATTCGCATTCTAATGCCTTTTCATTTTGCGTAATAACACCTTTTAACACCCCCGCTCCCTTAGATTGATCGTAATAGACTTTCGTAGAAAATAAATTTTGTAATTTGATATAGAAAATAGGAAACACTTTTTAATTATTTTTTCCAGAGTTATTGCTCTTCGTTGAGCATTTGTTAGCAAACTCTGAACTTCAATTTTAAGCACTGGTATTAAGCTTAAGGTCAGACGATACGTTTCTCAAATATCTGTTTTGTATATCTTCGTATTGTATGAAAAATATTCAAAATATTAATTACCTTCTGATTCCTAAACTGGTTTCTAATTGTCTTTAAAAAATTGAAACACTAAAAAAAATGTGGAATTGGCATTTTTTTCCAAAAGGATTTTATAGGAAACACCATCCTCTGGTATCTTGCACAAATGCCTGGAAAGGAACCTCACTTTTTTTGCGAGTAAACATGTTAAAGTAGCAATACTTCAATGACAAAATCTTAGAAAAAATTATATATTATTGAGGAACGTATTGTCTGTCCTTAAGATCTAGTAAATGAAATGGTTCCTACAGATTTCTCAAACTTGAGAAAGATTTCTTTTAATGATGCCACATTTTATTTAAATAAGGTGTATTTGGGCGTTATTATTTGGTAAACACAACAAAATAATGATTTTTCAAATGTTATTTTCAATGAAATATATATTGTAAAGGTCAGCCATACATTTGGGACAATTTTTTCGAAATATACATACATAAACGGTAATTTGTATGTTCCTGCTTTAATTCATACCATTTCAAAAATGAAATATAAAGAACAACAAAACGTCTATAAGGGTAAAACAATAATTATTTATTCATTTTGACAATAATTATTATAACTCAAGTTTCTGTCATTCGGACGAAAGGACCTAGAATTCCTTCCATATTTTAAAAAACTGTGTGGAAGGGGTTGTTTATGACACCTGCAATTCACATCCTATAATATTCACATGTAACACAGTAAAAAGAGAAGGATAATGCCGTTTATTTGTTTATAAATAACTTTCATCAAATATAAGTTTCGATTCATTCATAATCCTGTGTAATCTAGTATACAGTATAAATTTTGCAAATAACTACTCTAGCAATTAAACCTGAATATCTCGGAGTATTCTTGGAGTACAAAGGCTAGGTTTTTGTCCATATTCTTCACCATCGATTTTTTTTACTGTCGTTCTTAACTGAAAAAAGGTAACTGATCGCTATATAATAGGCAGTTCTTTAGGTAATTATTCTTTTTTCTTTATTAAATTAAAATATCCAAGTAATAGTTAGTAATTTGAACAAAGAGCTGCAAAGAAACCCCTTTAGTTATAAAATATACTTTAAAACAGAACAATATTCTTGAATTCATGAACTCGACGGATTTTTTTCCTATTTCAAGCTTCTTTTTCCTTTAGATATAGACGCTCTACGGTAGTGAATTTCAATATATCGGATCAATAACCTACAAAAGAATCAAGAAATTGTTCCCATTATTTCTAAGGAATTAAATTTTTTGGCGATTTGTAATCTCCTAGAGAATAAAGAAAACATGTTTAATCGAAACGAAAAATTAAAAAAAATCTCTATTTAGAAGAATGCTTCGTAACTCGAGGGATTTCAGTATCATTTGGGGGATCAATAAATGAGATAATCGCTCTGATAATGTCCATAAATGTGTGTTGATTTATACAAACTTTTAATGTATATAGGCACTTCTGGATAATGGTTTTAAACGACATGATTTTTTTTTAATTAAGAGCTTCTGGAACAGTTTTTTTTTTTTTAAAATAATTAATTAAATTACAAGATAGAGGAAATTGGAAGGAGTTGTTTCGAAATGCTTTAAAAGAAATACCAATACCATGTGCATAAAACAAGTAATTCTTTCTATAAACAGAAAATAAATATAGCGAAATAGGAGAGAAATGTTACATTATCACAGGAAATAACAGTAGGGTAGTGAGTTTTTACAGCCATAGACACCTTAGCTCTAAATTACGTAAAATAAAACAATTATTGTGATGCACTTTACACAAAATATGTATTTGTTTATAACAATCCAAATAAAGCAATTTCAGTGGAATCTTCTCCGTTTGAATTCAAGTGGAATATGTTAATTTTCTGCACAAACCTACCCCAGGTTTAAATCAGTTCTCGATAAAACTTTTACAAGGTATATAACGGATATTTGCCAAATACAGATCAATATGAACAATATCAAGCTGTTTGATGCCCTTTGAACCCTCACTATAGAAAAGTGTACCATATAAACATCCCGACCTACAACCCTAGCTGTTGATATTGTTGTATATTAACCGAGCGTGCTGTTGTTTCCCGGTTTATCCACATTACATTATCTTCAGACCAAAAAGGAAAAACTTCAGGGTTGTAAGACACGAATAGTTTCTCCCTTATCATTCTTTTGAAAGGGGTGGAGCTAAAACAATCTGATGACTTTTCATAAGGAACTGCATCTACATATATCTCACTTAAAACATTGCCGTTTACATGTCCAAAAGTTACCCGAAAGAGTTATATGGTAAAAATTTGAACAATTTAGCACAGGAAATCCTTACTGGACTCCTACAGGTTAATGTTTGATTAACGAGTACAAAAAAATGACGTAACAGAAATGTTTAAAGTGTAATTACATGTACATGTATAAATAAGACCAAATTTTCAACAAAAATTGCGTAAATATCACAGTTTTTCATCGAAAGATTTTTTGACGTCATTTTCGTCCAGAACGTGAACAATGACGTCTTCTGTAGAGTAATTTTCGTCATCTAGAGACTGTTGTCGTGACAATCTTGATGACGTATTAGTGTCCTGGCTGTCAGAGCGCAGTCTGACTCTTATGGCCGGTTGCGTATCTCGGATTTAAACCTCCGATCAATGATTCCAGGTTTAAATCCAAGTTTACACGTTGCACACAGGTAAGGCTTGGCTGAGTACAGCTCAGAATTACGGTAAATTCTGAACCTGGTATAGGGGTGGTTTAAACCCAGCTTGATATCGTGTCCATGGATTTTTGGTAGAATATTTTGAAATTTCGAACTGTTTTGATGTTCCAGAAATATTTTATGGTGACAATGATTGTATTCAAAAAGGCTATTCTACAAGTTAGAAATTTTTTATGGTCATATTGAAGATTTTTTTGGGCACATTTCTTCAATGTGTCGTTTTATATAACACTGATGCAGCTGAAGTCTAAAGTTACTAGAAATTTTTAAATGGGAATTTATTCGGGTACACAAATGTAAAATAACAAAAAAGTTATATAAACTTTCTCATATACCAAATTTAAATCAAATTACGAATTTCACACTTTCAAACAATGCAAACAGCTGGTGATACACATTCTAATAGTTTCTAATAATGTCGAACCGAATTTCTTAGAAATTAAAAGTTTATTTTTTATCATTGTGTAGGCTATCCACATAGCCGTAGGACCGGGGGGGGGGGGGCTGCCCAGCCTTAATAATTTTGCCGATATATAGAATACTCTAGAAAATATAGCTAATGTATGATTGTGCCTTCTCAATAATAACGTATGATGACTTTTTTTTAATTTGCCTGTCAAGGATATTTGGGTCCCACAACTAAAAATGTTTGGCTGTGCCCCCCCCCCCCCCCCCAACTGAAAATGCTTACGGCCTGATCCTTGAGAACATGACAACAAACTCACATTTATCAATACTTGTACCGAATTGAATGTTTCACTGGATTGCTGGCTATATGAATAATGCTCAAATAATCTCTTTGTTACATTAGTTGTATATCAAACTAAACATTCTAAACAACTAAGTACTAATGGCTTGATATCTACAGAAAAGGTATCATTTGATATTAAATTGAAAATTTAAATATATACATTGTTCCTACCTCTGTCTTAAGTTTTGGTATTGTTTCTATTGTTACTAATTCCCAAGACCCCCCTCCCAGTTTTTCCTCTCTTCTGTCTTTTGGAAAAGCTGTATTATGTTTACCATTTCATATTTTCTTATGGTTTGAGTTTCGATGACAGATCCTGTGGTTTGAATTAAATTGTATTGCAGTTTTTTCTGCATTTTAATTAACAATTTACCATCAATATATATCTTTGTTTTTAAATATATCCTTTCGAGATTCAACCAGATTTATCAAAAAATGTTTGAAGAGCTGTAAAATTAGGAAACTTACTAGCCTTCAACAGTTTCATTTGAGTAAGTCAAGATTAGGTAAGCCTTACTCAGTTTTATAGCGTGCAACAGAAGTACGTCTCAAGTAAACCCGACTCAACTGGGGTTTAAACCCGGCTTACGTGATCCGCGGATCAGCGGCTGAGCCGTACTTATCTGAGCCATAGGTACGCAACCGGCCATTAGACGTCTATCCTCCCTATGAGATGCCGCCTCCTCCTCGGGAATGTCCTCTAAGTACTGATTTCTGGCCTGAGACAGTTGGTGGAGGATTTCCTCCTCACATGAAGGTTCCTCTAATGAGGAATAAGCACTTTCTGTCAATAACGGAACTGATGAACTCTTTCTATTTTCAGTGTTATCATGTCTACGTAAAACATCATGAGGATTTCCCCCATTCTGATTAATATCTACACTGTTTGTTTGTGCTAGTTTACTGAGTAGCAATGTTTGTTGTTTCAACAGGTGATTCATTTTCTGCTCCATCACGTCCATCTTTTCACAGCATTCTTTAGTCTCCTGTTCCCGAGATTGTAAATGATTTAAAATTTCATATCTAAAGCTTGAAATATCCTGTTTTACTTCGTCGAAATCTGTGAAAGAGATTTAAAAAAAATGAGTTCTTGAAATTCATGAGATAGACAAAAACTAAAGAGATTAAATAGAGTTTCAGCTTTATTACTGCTTCATTGTATAAAATTCATATCCACCATAACTTACCATCATTACTGTCATTTTCCCTCTGCATGTCAAAGATATATCTTTTGACAATTCTTTTCATTACTCTCTATAAAAATTAAAGTATATTTTTAGTAGCATTAAGAAGGATACTTTTACTTGCAAAAGACATATAATATATCATATTTAGGTACGGATGTAAATTAACTAGGGACTGTTTTCATTTACCTTATACGTAAGTTTTTCCTCAAACAAGTTTGGTTCAGAATCACTTCTAACAAAACCATTAGTAGTTTGCATTCTCTCCCGGAATCGCTTTATACCATTAGCTTGATGTTGAGACTGTACATTATCCCAACCTGATGTCTAAAACGACGCATTTCAGTATTATCAACAAATATAAATAAATTAAATAAGTGTATATATAGCATGGTATGAAAAAGAATAAAATAAATGTCTATATAGCATGAAGTGATTAAGAATAAAAAAAAAATAAGTGTGCATATAGCATGAAGTAATTTTTATATGTTTTATTGCATCTTAGAATATGATTTTAAAGATACAAGTCGAAAAGAATGTATTACATTTTTTCTCACCGTTGCAGTTGGACTGGTGGCAAAAAGTTCCACATCTTTTATTCGCCCTGGGTGTGGTCTGAGATCCCCTGTCTCTCCTTTACAAAAACAATGCCCAATTCGAGAGAGCAGCTTCCATACTGACTTCGGGGAGGGAACCATGTTAAATGGAATGGGTAGTGTTGCTCCTGACTTTATATAGTCCATGTAAAGCTTACTGCGGGCAAACTTCCATTCCGTGTCTGAATCCTCCTGTCAGAGAAAAGCAAAAGATTGTTTTTAAGTGGTTAAAGATACGTAAAACCCAGGGATATAACCATATATATGGAAATACGGTGTATGATCTTCAGGAGCCGATCTGATACAAACTCCAATGATGTGTAGTTTTTTTTACCTGAATAAGTTCAAATGACCTTGACATCATGGCAATTAGCATATTTAGAAGCACAATAACACTGCACCAGTTGTATGCACCAAATATCCAGTATCCAACGTACTGCGTGAAAATGTGATTGAATTCATCTAACTCCACAATTGTGGCATCTCCTCGTCCAAACAGGGACCAGAACACTGTTCTCACTGTCTTGTCTGGACTAAAGAAGGAGAATGAAGCATAAACTTTATAAAATGTTTCTAAAAATAGCTCATATTTAATTACATCTCACTCTTCTTCTCGGTTATATTACTTCTGGAATTCGAAATTGGAATGGAATTATTTGCTAAGAAATAAAAAAAAAAGTATGAGAAATCCTTACATCCCAAACGCCTCCTCTGCGCGAACTGTTATGTTATTTTTCATGAACTCGACTTTCTCTCGTACTTGTTTGGGGTAGTACCAGTACAGATTATGTAAACCAACCATGAAGGCCACCAGAATTACCAGAAAGATCGCTAAAAATTTTATAATGTCCTATAAATTGAGAGAAAAATCAAAGTCAATCAAATTTTGAAAAGCTCAGTTCACTTAATAGTTCAGGTAACCAATCCAAATATTCATGTTATTTGAGGTTTCAGAATGACTAGTGTAAGACATATTTAAAGTGCATCTTTACATGGTTCATTTGTCTGTACCAATGATGTGAAAAAAAATTGTCCATTTACAGTGACGGGTTTTGCATCTTTTGAATTTCAAAAATTCTAACCGTCATCATTCGAGCGATGGAGATCTGCATGGGACCAAACATTTCATTGGCTGGCAGAATATACGAGACTCTGGTGAAACTGATGACATTAGCAATGGCGAACAGTCCCTCTGCAATGTTATGGGGGTCTAGGGAATCCCAATAGAACCTGTCTAAAAAACAATTACAGATCTACGTGGTGAGAAAGTAAAAGTTCGTGACAATTGTGCAGCCTGCTTGCAGGTCGAAAAAGCTTTAAAGAAGACTTGAACCTCTATGAAAAACATTATATTTTGACATTTTATAGTGTCCTCTGTTTTCTTGCACGTTTTCTCAAAATCAGTATTCTTTTTGATGAAAAATTAGGGGGGGGGGGGCGACAAATGCAAAGGAACTTCCACTACTTAAAAAATTCAAAGCCTTAGAGTTAGAAATATTTTTGGAATTTGAGAACAGGGGCAATAAAGTACAGAGTCTAAAATTCAAATGAACGCACTCCAAAGAACAGTAAGACCTGTCCTGTAACAAAAACCATGTCGGTCAGTTCAGTATGAGCTTGGAACACTGTATAACTTATACTGGAAAAGGCTTTGCGGTAATATGATGTTTTATTTAAGTGATGTGTACATGTACATGAAAAACATTTTTTCTTGGTCTGCGTCCTTTCCATAACGTACCATGATGTCATAGCTAAGAAGTGAGCATCAATGTTCTCAAAAACCAATTTGACATCAAATAGGCAAAGAGACATACTTAATATCGTGTTCACTATAAAGTTTGTAGGACAGTTAGAAAACAAAATCAAATGTTATGACAATCAAGCATACTAACAAACCTGGCCAGGCATCACTTCCCTTGCCGGGCCTATATTCTTAATCTCCCTAGCTCTCAGGTGCAAGTGTTGTAAAAGGAAAATTTAACTCATATATAGTAAGATCCCCCTGGAAGTCGCGCTCTAGATGTGACTCTCTTCCCCCTCCCTCCCCCGAGGAAGAAGACTCACCCTAGAACTATACATATACTTCGTCCCAGAGCATACTTCTCCCTTGGAAGTCTCGTTCTAGGGTGATACTGCTTCTAGGGGGGAGGCTTTCTCTAGAGTCGTACTCCTCAACGGAAGTCACCTTCTAGAGGAAGTCTCCCTTTTGGTGACCTCTTCTGTCGACTCAGTACTGGATAGGTAAAGGAGCAAACAAATTTTATGTTTTAACTATTTTATACTTAACAAGGTAAGATTACATGGTCAAAAACACAGAATGAACGATTAGAAGGGGTGTGTAATATGTAAAAGGTACCCCCCCCCCCTTTACTTCGTATAAGAAACAAGCTGATAAGAAAATGTCTGGTTATTTCCATTTTATAAAAAAACAATTTCGAAATGTATTTGTGATTTATTGCAAAAAATTATTAAAATGCACTACCGTTTAGTCTTTGTATTTCTTCACTTTACATAAAGTGATTGAAATACTAGCAAAAGCAAGATTAATTGGGAGGGGATCTACTATGGAGGGGGAAGGTTCCGACTCTACAATCAGCGGTAAAGTAATTATTCCCCCAGGAAAGTGTGGCTCTAGAGTGAGACTTCCCCGGGGCCGGGGTTTCTTCTGCTTTAGATGTAGTCTTCCAAGGGGGAAGGCTCACTCTAGAGTAAAACATACTCCAGAAAATGAGTTCCAGGGGTATCACTATGGGGATGGTCTCATTCTATAACACAGGAACAATGAGTAACACGTGGTATATATATGATATACCACGAAACATCAATAAAGTTCACCCTCCCTAATATTTCTTGAAAGTATTCTCACCTGCGATGATCCAGTACATCTGTTGTGCTGCTGTTTGATCACTCCTTAACAACAGTTCCCAAGGCTCACGAGTTTCAAAATATTTCAAAGCAACGTTTACCTGAAAATTGAGCTTTTTTTTATTTCAAATTTATATTCCATAGCCTGCATCTATACGAGTTCTTTATACACCTTTTAGAATCACCGTTAAAGTACTCTTTTTCTCTTATGCATTAATGAAATCTGTTAAAGAATTTCAATTTGAATTTAAATGCCAAGATACCAAAACTTGAAATGTTGTAAAAGATTTACTCTAATTCTGAAGACTTGCCTTCCAAATGCAGACGTATCTAAGTGTGAAGGATGACAGGTAGAGCGTGAGTACAGCCACATCCAGGTAATTATACAAAGAATCAAAGTAGTCGTACAAACCCTCACTAAATACCTGCTTTATCTCCTGCCAAAGCATACCTGAAAAGTATACAGACTTTCAAAAAACGTGTGTCATTGCAAAATACAAATGAAATGTCAGAAACCTTAGTCGATGACGTTGTTTATAGCTTTAAGGATTTTTTAAGACAATTCTTAAGTAAAAATATGGACAATGCTTAACTTCAGACCACTGAAGTGTACCGGTTTTGCGATTTTATACAGGAAAGAATCGGTTTGAAATAAAGTGCACGTGTCCTGTCTACATATATAGATATATTTTCCAACAAAACTATTGATCAAACTTTTGCAGAAGTTTTGCAAAACGACTTCGAAAATATATCACAATCTTAGGGTTTAAACAAAACAAAAGATATTTTGAAGTTTACTCGGAATGTGAACAATCTGCCCACTATTATCATGAACTTCCATTGATAAATAAACACATAACTAATTCAGGGAAACGGGAATTGTTCCTAGTAAATTGCAGTTATATATCAATGTTAAAATAATCAAACATCTTGCCCAGATGTATTGCTTTTGGTAGATACTTGTACAAGGAATCCTATCTTTCTTTGTTCACCGTGTCAAAAACCCAGATCAGTGAAAAGAGAGTTCACAAAAATCTTATTTAACTCGGTAAAATTTCACATACATGTATTTCAAACAAATCCAAGATTTTTTTATATTTCTTTTATGACAATGCTCGGATATGTTATTCTGTATTTATTTTGAAGAAACATCTTGAGGTTACAAAGTAGGTAAAAATACCTTGAATGTTTACATAGTTTCAACAGATCTTTACGATTCATACAAACGGACGTGTCTATAGGTGGAATTGGCCAGTGTGTAAGATAAACTTGAGATGTCTTCTGCGTATTAAAGTCAGGTAAAAAAATATATCGTATTTCAATTTCATGTTTGCATGTGTCCTAATTTGTACATTTCAACAGTCAGAGCTCTGCTAATACAGCATTGTTTGGGCTCAACAACTCGTATTGTTTTCCATTCTCGTGATTAAGCACAATAGTCGCAATTTCTTTTGATGAACTGAGATAAAATGTATATAACTTAAATTGCTGAATTACACTTGAAACCCTTCGCACTATAGAATGATTTGTTACAGAATTTGCAACGCCACATTTCACATCCATCACAGAATAATGCTATTTGTCATATTCTGTTGTGATCTGGAGACCTACTAACCAGATTAATCGCGTCTATGAGAACCAGATAAATGCAAAACATCCATATTCATAGCACCAAACGATAATGATTAGCCTGGGACCCAGAACCAAAGACATGATTTGTGGTTTGACACGGCGATTAGACCAGCTTCGATTGGAATTCCAGAAGAATATCATCTTAGTTAATATTTCGGACTATATCTCTTAAGCAATACAAAGGACTTGAGTCTTCATGAGAGCTCTCTCTGCATACCAGGACAGCTAAATAGGCTGACAATCATATGGAGTTCAAAGAGGCCATGGCTTTTGATTTTATCAAAGCTTGGTCTACTAACTAATGAAAACTACGTCATATTCCATTCCTAAATACCAAATACATGACTTATTTTTACATTCGGAGCCATCAGATGTAAAACGGTTTTTCAATCCATGCTTACTTAACACAAATCCAAATAAATGTTCAAGCATGCATACAGCAGCAGTAGGTGACGATTTCAGCTATTTACTCACCAATGATCCATAGACTAAGACCGATCTGTATAATTTCTGGCCGACTCGTGCGGACAACAAAGTCTTCTGGAAGCGTCAGACGGCTGTGATTTTTGTACCAGAGGTAGTGTTTATAGGGACCAGAGAAAGACGATAGGCGGGTAAGGTCTGTCGTTCCCTCAGCACTGGAGATCAGAATCATGACGAGAAAAGTAACAAAGGACATGGCGTGACCGATAAACTTTATACATGGATACTGAAGGAAGCGCCCAACCTGTAAATATCGTACACGTTTTTGGATGCTGGATCTAGCTACTATATTTACTCATAAAAAAATACCATGAATTTAATTAAAATTTCAAAAAAGCTATAATTGTTAAATAACTTAAATGCTTTGCATAAGTAACATTTATATGATAGATACTCAATGTATTAGAATTATAGGAGCATAAATATTTTATAAATGGAATGTAGAAAAAATGAGTCATCATCTCTCTCTTTTCCTTATATGTTTATACCGTTATCTCTAAAGATTTGAAAGATTCATTTGAGGAAATCATTCAAAAATCACTTCAATTATCAGATATAGATACAAACGTTACTTCTCTTTTTTGGGACCATTACTTTACAAACGAGCTATAGTTTGTGTATTCGAAGTGAATTGAAAGAGAATTTAAAATCAGAATGTTTAAAAATCTTCAAGAATCTTCCCCATCATCAAGAGTATGTCAAACATCCATTAACCCTAGCCAAAATATGGCGTTAAACAATAACAATCAATTCAAATACCCTAACCCTCGAACGTTCTCAAGTAAACGTTTAGAACACATCTGCTCTGTACTGAGTAAAATATTGTCTATTACTCATCCGGTAAAAGAGTTACATCTTAATGTCCTTAAGTGCTCCTTTGAACCAGTTTATTTTTGAAGTTGATTATGATTAAATTTCTTTATTTTGAATCTAAGTACAATCCGTTTCCTCTAGGTTTTTTTTTTCATTAATCCAGCTAGGAGAAGTTTTCTCGCCACCTTCTGAAATCGAGCTTTACTATCAGTTATTTTTGCTCCTTTCAACTGATTAATCAGATTATAGTGTGTCTAAAGTGTATTTTTAGCTCTGTTTACATCCTTTATAAATTTAATTAATCAATGGATATTACATGTGGAAAGATCAGTTAAACAGAAAATACAGGTCTAAGATATACGTTAGGGTGTGGTTAGGTTTTTTTTTCTCTTTGGTTTCGTATTGTATTGAGTTTTTGTATATAGAAGAACTAAAAGTGACAGTCGAAAGTGGAATAAATAGACGTGAATACAAATTTATATTAATTTTCAATGAAGAAAAACCAACCAAGAATAAATGACAATAAAAATGGAATAGTTCATTACTGGAAAAAAGTGTTTTCTGCCCTTTTTTCATATAGAAACAACTTTCCCCTAGGCTTTGGAACTCACTAGTGAAAGTGGTTAAGTAGAGGGTATGTATACCTTAGAATGTGGAGCAAACCAGTAAAGAATGGCCAGTAAAGGGTACACCGAGGTGACTCCGAACACCATGAGAGAGCGGAAGAACCAGTTAGAGCGCTCCATGGCTCTCAAGTCATTATACCAAATACTGACCAACTTCTGCTGACAACTAGGGTGGGCCACAAACTGTAACAAAATGATCATAGTATTAGAACATCTGTATATCTTTTATACTGTGAGGAGACATTTATCATATTGATATTTTCTTGTTCTTCTTCTATTTTAATACAATCATGATTCATGCCTTTCACAAAAAAGCGTAAATTTAATTGAAAATAAATCTGGTATCAGTGTCTGTAATTAATAAAAAAATAGAGACAAATAGTTTTTCTTGAAATCACTAGAAGATGTCATTGACCATCTTGTAGAGAACATTGATTAAAATAGTGGACATATAATTTATTCTATCAATTCTAATAAATCAACAAACATCAAAGATACAGTTTGTGTTGGATAATTAAAGATGTCCAGAAAATGGGATTGTTGTCATCAAGATACCAAAGACTAAAGAACATTAACCTCCTGTCTGGTTTAAAGGCATCTAATCTGTTAGCAAAACTATGATATGACAATCAAGATATTTCCCCAGGTACCAAGTAATGGGCATAAAAAGGCATTATATACACGTCTTATGGAAAGTTTTCTTACTTTTTTTTTTATTGAAAATAAGATTGTTTTTGTTTTTGTTTGTTTGTGTGTATGATAGTTTGTTTAGTTTCTTTGCCCAACGATTCAATACCAGAGAAAAAAAATGAACTTAAATAACTTACTTTCTTTTCATTGTAATGAATTGCCAATTTCAATCTGGATAATTGCTCAAATGTTTCATCATCAGCCTCACGCTTCTTTTTGTTTAGAAGTTTTTCAAGTTCGTCATGACCTCTAACCTTATCTAGTAGCCGAACCACATACTCACTTAATTGATCTGCTAATGTTAAATATTCACTCTGAAAGTAGAAAACAGAAAAAGTTACTAGTACAAAACACTAAAAGAATAAAATATGATATATCATCAAGATTTTTAAGGCTGTTTAGATAACATAATTTCTATAAATCATAAACTTATCTCTAGAGAAGTACAAATAAAAAGGATATCTTTAATTCTGACGCCAGTTTAAGTTATATTTTTCGGGTTTTGATGAGGGGATGTCAAAGTGAACTTGATAAGTACAAGTTCTTTGAAAAAAAATGAATATTGATTAAATTGCTTGATAATAATGCAATGCGTTACAATTTTCTCATTTTACGTTCTTTGAATTCTCACCTTATAATATTTTTCAACTTTTGCAACACATCTGAGCTCCCTTGCAAGTTCAAATGCTGTCAGTATGGGGTCGTTACTGGACAGTGATATATAGGCACTACTGGCCAGACCCCTGTAGGCGTTCAGTCGAGTTTTGGCTAATCGCAATTGGTCAAAGACCAGCTTGTTACTACACTCCTGACAGTTACAATAGTAATGATGGGGTTTCCTGATTGTTTCACCCCTTAACAACAAAAGTTGGACAATTTCAAATTGATTCCTCTCTGCTGCGAGTATAAGAGGTGTGATATCGGAAGAAAAAGGAGAGTCCTCACTGGTGGTATTAAAGAAGTAATCTGTCTCTCCAAAACGTTTGTTTTCTCGTTTGACGTCTCTGTATTTGGGATGTTTTAATATTGTCTCTGCAATTTGTTCGTGACCTGCACTAATGGCTTGTAGCAGTGCTTCATGGATGCTGGCAGCATTCGAACGATCAAGTAGCAGTTCTACAACCTGCCATTGTAATAAAAGATGTCACTTCTGAGAGAATGATATCTAAATAATTAGGCAATTACACTTCAAAACACGATTTTAATTTCAGAATACCTCTTTGACGTTTATAAAAGTCTTCTATCACTTTAAAGTTTTATATTAAGCAGTGTTTTGAGGAGCTGTAATATTTATTACGATTCCTTATCTTTTTAATCATTCCTTTTTTACAAGTCTACCTATTATTGGTAATTAGTCTCTCTTTAATAGGTTGCCGATAGCGATTCTTAACACCTTTATATTCACATCAGTGTTGCATGATATTGAACAGATGCTGAGAGGTTCTTAGTGAAATATACATTACCTCCAAGTGTTCATTGCCCACCGCCAGGCGAAGTGGAGTGCGACCAAGGATATCACTGAAATCGACATTGAGGCTTGGGTGTTCCTCCAATAGTCGCTTAACAGTCGGAATGTCCCCGAACTCAGCGGCAAAAATAAATTCCTCTTCAAGGTCTGAAAGCTGAAAATGAATTGCCTCATGTTATTATTATATTGAATAATGGTTACATAAAAGAACCCTCTCTCTTCATTCTTTCTTTTTACATGTTTACTTCGCGGTTGTTAGCATATTATGTGATTTTAATTTCATAAGAATCTAACCAAATTTAAAATATAAATGTTTTTGTCATGTTGTTACATGTATTACTATTTTTTGTTGCTATGATATTTGATTTCTAGTTTCATTATCCTGATAATAACAACATATTTTTTAAGAGATTTTAGTGATGCCCTAAAATGCATATCTAAGCTTGTCTGATTTTTGCGCATTTTTCTCTAGAATTCTTGTTGGTTTAATCTTTCCAGGAATATTTACAATTTGTTTATACACATGTATAAACATTTTTAGATTTTTCTCTTTCATGCTCCAAACCAACTGGAAAAGTATTCTGAACATTGCAGAATACATGGATACACGTATATTGACCCATATTTTTGAATGTGTTTGCTGTCATTTTGTTGTGCATTTATTGATTAATTGAATATGATTGTATTGTCTTTGTGCATTCGCCACACTTCTGATTGTTGTATTGAGGATGTTTACTTGCGAATTGACCACAATGTGTACAGTCCACAACCACATCAATTTCATTTGTAAACTTCATATACTAGGAGCAGTTATTTATTACATTTTTACTCCTTTATACAGTGGATATATATATATATATATATATATATATATATATATATATATATATATATATATATATATATATATATATATATATATATATATATATATATATATATATATATATATATATAAATATATATATCATATCCAAGGTTATGAAGTCACAATGGTTGATCAAGTCAAATATTGTTGATTTACTAATTTAAAACTGTGTAAAACACGAAATAGCTATGTGTAAATTATGTGATGAAAAGAATCTCCCATCATTTGTGGCAACTCGTTGGATAAAGCATCCAACGAAAAACTATGGGAGATCCTATATTAATACTCCACAAAGCAGAAGTATGTATATGTATATTGTATATATTATAAAAATGTCAAATCGAGCCTGTGATATCAGAAGACTTTTTACTTGCACATAATTAAAGCGCTTTTTTGATTAAAAAAACACAGATTTTTATAAATAAATATTAACCCGCCTTTTTGCTGAACTTTTTTAAAGTAATGAATGTTAGTTCTAGGGGCAAGAAGTTTGAAATATAAATTCAAAAATGTTGGTGCTCACCAATGCCATGAATTTCAATAGCAAACAAAGCACATATATATAACATAAAATATAATAATCCGAGATTTCTCTGACTCTAACCCCTGCTTTTATATTTTGACATGTGCAGGGGAGACATGTCAAAATATAAAAGCAGGGGTTAGAGTCAGAGGAATCTCGGATTAAAAATATAAGAGTCCTACGCTAATTATCTGTTTAAAAAAACATTGCGGCCAAAAAATCTCATTATCACAGCTTCAAACGTTTTTCAATGTCTTCTCTTCATTTACAGATCACAAAAATTAATCTTCTGTGTTTACAGCAACTTCAAAACACAAGTCTTATATTGTTATTGTAAATTATAAAATAATCTATCGGGGCAGACGGCAGAAGAATGGGTTTTGTTCCAAAATAATAACGCCCCTGTCTAGAATATCTAGAACAGAGCTATCATGGTAATAAAGACTGCAAATTTAATAAAGTGGGTGAATCCTCGGTTTACATCCATCTATACTTTCTATTTATATTTTCATTCATGATAATTGTTTTTTACTTGAGTGCATGCTTTCATCAGGATGTCGCCAGTAAAATTGAAGAGAGTATAAATCATCAGACAGAAAGTGTGTCAGATTTGTGAATAAATTTTAAAAATTTTCTAGGTGGGATTCTTTCTAAGAACTTTTTTATTGTCTAAATTTCTCTACGTTATTGACAATTCGTTTGGCTGTGTGAGTTATGTGAGTTATTACTACTTTTTCTTTATTTAAAAAAGCAGTTGAATTGATCAGAACTCTTACCAAAGTGGTATTTATGAAATATGGAGATAACGAACAGTAATCAAGCTCAGAAGTCCATCGAAACAATACAAATCGAGAGCAGAGTAAACACGGAACTCGAAAAAAAAAAACACAAGAGGTGGGATCAGGTGCCATGGAGGAGTAAGCATCCCCTGTCGATCGATCATACCCGCCGTTTGATATTCAAACATATTCCTTTATAATTCATACACATTCTCTTTACGCAAAACTACATGTATCCTTATTTCATATTCTATCCATTTCTAGAAAAAATATCACCGTACCTGCAGCTTCACGTGTTGTGACCTTTAATCTTATGAAAAATTAAATGTGTTCATCCTTCCTTGATTTTGCCGATCCTGTTACTTTTCTGCCTCTTCTGTGACCAGACTGCAGTTCGGTACTTACCGGTCCTTACTGTTGCTGTTTTACCTCTACTGTGACCAGACTGCAGTTCGGTACTTACCGGTCCTTTACTGTTTCTTGTGTACCTCGATTATGACCTGCTCTTTGATGTTATTTTTAGAATTTGGTACTTACTGGTCCTTTACTTACTGCTTTAGGTACTTACTGGTCCTTTACTTACTGGTTTAGGTACTTACCGGTCCTTTACTGTTGCTGGCTTTCTCGCTGGACAGGTTTAGACGAGATAAGGACTTCTTCTCTTTGTGTGATTTGTACGGCATACCGTCGTTCACCTCATTGCTACGTGACGCTGTAAAGAAAAACCACACTTTCCATTATTCATTAGATTCGTTCCCCTGTTTATAAAATGGCCACAAGGACAAAGTCGTAGAGGGCAATGGACATTTATCTAATGCTCAGTACGCCTAGATCCTTATCCGGAATGTATTTCAGAGACAGTTCTCTATAAGTTTCCACAGTTTGTGCGTGTATATTTTCACGTGACTATAAGTTACAAATACTAAAGAGATTCAAATAGATGATAAATTGCTCAATTATCTAAATGTTACCATGGAAATCAGGTAGTTTCAGGTGAGATAATCTGGATTATTATCACTGATTATCCTACTGGTTCTGTATTTTTGCAGTGTAATGACTACCTTTTATGTGAATTAAGTTAAATTCCAACTCGAGCAAAGACATTAAAATTAGAAGAATTAAAAGAAGCTAGATTTTACTTAGAAAGGCTTGTAAACCAACCCTTGTATATTGTCATATTTTTAACTTTACATGTGCAAGAGTAATTGCATTGGACTGTGGAGTTGTAGTGGACTTGCAATAAGCCAATACTTGCTTTCATGTTTGCTGTAGTTCTAATAAAATATGATACATAATTTATAATCAAAAGGGACCGATTAAAAAAAAAAGGCTTTACATGAAGCCCTTTATGTTTGATCGTGTTTACTTATCGCATTAATCATATTTCTAAAATCATTTTCAGTTCAATACTTGATATTCATCTATTTTTAAATAGCTGAAAAGAATATCCAAAACTAGATAATGTTTCCATTCCAGGATTGTTTTTATGTATAAAGCAAGTAGAATGAAATGAGGGATGTGCGATGACGAATTTGCGAGTGCTAAAACTCGGTTATCACTAAGAAATCAAACTTTAACAATTTCTGAGAAAACACTATTTTGTATCCCTAAAACACAATTCATACAGCTTGTGGTTTGTATTTCCAGGTTGTATGTAAACAAGTACAATATCATCGCAGCAGTTCCTCGAAGGAAATCAAGATTAAGTCGGCATGGAATCGGCGGAGAGACATGGTAATCACAAACTACCATCTACCGTAGGTATAATCGATTACAAGCAGGTGCCATCAATGTGGGTAGGGGAGGGCAAAAACCTACACAGATGATCAGACAAAGAAAGGAGTGATTGGTTTATTTTCAATTTTTTTCTGCAACTTTCAGAGAAAAAAAAATGAAATACATATAAGAGTTGAAAATGAAAATGAATAATCAAAAAATAATTTAAATTTGTTTTATGTTTTTCATATTTTAGGATATTTTGCATCGTCAAATAAACTTTATAATATTTAGCAGCGACAAACTAACTAGATGATAATCAGTACTTTTAAGAACATTCAACGAAATGAAGGAAAAAGAATACTATTTCACACTGGGATGGAGAATAAAAATTGGATCCGTTGCTAACATGCTTAAAACAAACTCTATATATTAGTGCATCGGTACATGTACCACGTGTCATTTACAGATCATAAAATTATATAGAGTTGTATGTCATTTCTTTACTGTAGAAGTAGAAGCAAGTACAAGTATTACCAAAATTGGAGAAGTTAAGTATTGACTTAATTCACAATACAAATTACATTGCATGAACATACTAGAAAGTTTCACCACGTGTAGTGAAAATCCATAAATGATTGTTTTCATTGACCTATTGACCTTTTATGAAACCAAGATCACTATTACTGTTTAGGAAATGAAAGAAACACCATGTAACAAAATAATACTCATTTTGCATTTGTTGACATCAAATTTAAGTTTAATGCATTCCAATCCTACATCGTGACAAACTTCATAATTATTCATAATAAAAATAATTGATTTAAACAAATGTCAACTTTTTAGATTAATGATAATTGAATTGGGATAGAGCTTGTTGACTTCAATCTCCTCAATAGAAGAGTTATAAAAAAATAGAAAGAATATTACATTTTGGCAATAAATAAGGAATTCATATTATGTTTAAAAAAAATACAATTCGAATACTTTAGAAGGCATGACAGTTTAAGACTATTTTGTCCAGTTTCGGGAGTAACTGGATTCAAATGTTCGTTGAGATAGCTTTTAGGTTCTGAATGGCGAATCCTGCTCTAAATTCGTCTCGTTCTGTCAATGCTGACACAGTTGAATGTGAAAAAAATGTTATACAGCAATAACAAAACCCACACAAATATTAACTTTATTAGATTTTCCATCTTCTATGCCCTCTCTCTCTCATTAATGATTATCAGATATATATGAAAATGTACCAGCCAACACGTTTGGATATTCAAACGAATTTGAATCAACTTCGTGTCATCTAAAAGTACAGGTTTATCGAGAACAATGATCCTACAATGATGTTACATGTAAAGTTCATCTTGGATGTGAAGACTTTAAGCTGTCCAAATTCAGATCCTCTACTGCTCTTTACAACATTTCTTCAATAAAATTACTGTTAGTTTATTTTAATCAGAATTTTTACTTCATAACATTATAGGTTTTTATAGAGAACAGGCTTGATATGATGGTCATTTAGCATAACGACCCTGAAAATTAAATAGAAACAATAGATTACATATACTGACTAATAATATAAGAATGAGGAAGTACTCACTGGTAGGAAATGTAGAGCAGCGCTTAAGAGCGCAGTACTTGTATTTTCTTTTTTCCGACTGCATCATGAGGAGCGCTGAATAACCTCACAAGCTAGCCCATTTCATGTCGTAATAAGTTTTTCCCCTACATCTTATAACATCCTACGTTCATTAAGTAATTTTCCAGCAAAATGAAGTTAATAAAAGAAAACGTGACGTAATTCATTTAGTTCACGATATCCACAAACAATTTAAAGATGATCGTCCGTTTCATTTTCTCAGAAACTGTTGAAAATTCCAGACCTCGAAGAGAATATGAAATGTACTCACAATAAATACCGATGCTAACATTTTACACATAAGAATAATCCGTGCAACAAAGCAAAAAGAATTTTAATAATCGATTGGGGATTTTTTGTTCATTTACCAAAATGGATTACTCCTCTGTAATAACATAAAGCCAGTTCATACGACAACTATAGAAAGAATTGGAACTTAAGTGTTGATTAACCCGAAACCATCATTCCGACTTCCGCCGTATTGGCCTATTCTAATTGGAACATTTCGTAAACGACCAAAGGGAACGATACTATCCATCATAAAGAAAAAAATAAATATTTATTAATTCTAAGTAGAGGGGGAATGTTCTTGTCGGTCAAGGGTCAACATACAAGTCATTATCTAATGATTTATATTTCGAATTTTCTGTTGAGTATCGATATTTTTAAATTATCGTAACTGGTAAATGTTGTTTTATATGCAATTGGTGTCAGAACACACAATGTTTTTCATTACTCATTTATTAACCATCTACAATTATTCTCATCAGTTTGATATCATCCACTATAGAACTTTACTTGCAATTGTACAAATAAATGATAATTACTTACCAATAGCAAATTAATTATTAAGATATTAAATCTCTCCGTGATAGATACCATAACACTGCCGTTCTCCTTATAAACAACCTGTGATTTTTTTAACGATTTGTTTGTATTTAGAAGTGTGCGGCAAACAGAAGGTCGGAGAAATGGCATTTTTTGCTGTTCTCGTTTTTCAACGAATCTCCGTGCCAAAACGGATATAACGTAGCTCTGAAATCAAGCGATCACGCGCCATTTAATGTACATGTTCATTTGCCATGCTGAATATCGATATATCAAGCAATGTCTTCACATGTATTGAATATCGATAAATCATAAATCAAATCGTTATTTAGTGAAACATGGAATATCGATAAATCAAGCTATTTTTTCAGATGCCATATACATGTAGTAAACCTTCCGGCAAAGCGAAAAATAACCCAGAAGGATAACTTTGTAGAATAGTACATCCCACCGGTAGATTAACTACATGTATATGGTAAATCTTCCTCCATAGGGGAAGGTTTATTATATAATATTCATCTACATAGTAAACCTTCCCATTAAATCATAAACGGTTTGATTTTTTTAATGTTTTTCATTGGAAATACAATATTATACATTTATTGACTGGGTTCGAGGGCAATATGCATTTTGTCGGACCCAAGAACAAAACTGTTTGCCTGAGGCCGTTTATCTTTTGTTTTCCAGTTTTTAATGATTTTGTCTTGGTTACAATGGTCGGATCAAGAGCTTAGGAAGAGAAAGCATCCCCTGACGACCTGTCAAACAAGCCGCGAGACCGCTGTATTGATAAGGAAAACGGAGTCATCCTAAGTCCAAATGACAAAAAACAATGGCCTAACAATAGGTGGGAAACACGTTAGTCAAATATGACCCAACGAGAGGCTGTATTTGCAAGCATAACATTTTAATGACCGTTAAATATGCAAAATGCTGATAGTGAAAACCCTGTAACATCGTCATCATCTCATTTGTCAGTAGCCTGCCTCGGTTTACAAATTGTTCGTACTTAGAACATGCATTTGAGTATCGAATCCGTTGAGAGACATAAACATTATATGCAGGTGATTGTTGAATATTTTTACATTAACTGGGGAAAGCTGATGACGGAAAGACTGAAGTCTTTTAGCAATATATAGTTCAATTTATAAGTTGGCCATTGTTTATAGTTTCTTTTCATTAGTAAAACATTCTAGTATGAAACAGACGTGGCAGACTCTGTGGTGTCTTTTATTTCAAGTTCACTGTTGACATACGAATAAAAATAGCTATCATTAATTGGTAAAGTTAAACGTCATTAATAAAAATAACTATCATTAATTGGTAAAGTTAAACGTCATTAATAAAAATAACTATCATTAATTGGTAAAGTTAAACGTCATTAATAAAAATAACTATCATTAATTGGTAAAGTTAAACGTCATTAATAAAAATAACTATCATTAATTGGTAAAGTTAAACGTCATTAATAAAAATAACTATCATTAATTGGTAAAGTTAAACGTCATTAATAAAAATAACTATCATTAATT